CCCCATCCTGGAAAAATAAATCCCTACTGTCTAGCCATGGAGGAGTAGGCATTTTTTCCCCAACATATAATCTTTGGTATTCCTATAGAAGACATTAAATATAAACAGTGGGGCAGGTACCTTTGGCTAAATAAGCCAAATGTGGCAGAAGGGGGCTCAGCCTGGTCTTGGAGGCAGGGAAGTATTTATGGGGTGGATTTGAGGATTTTCCAAGCTTTGCCTTTTTCTGACCAGTCCAACCCATGTGCAATGACAGGGGAGGCTCAGACCTGCAGCCTCACTCACTTTGTCCCAGTGCAGGGACAGCCACCCACTGCACTGGAGGCACAGGAGATGACAGCAGGGCTTTCCAGGTGACACAGCAGCGGTGCTGAGGAGGGGGACAGCAGGGTGGCCCCTTGGGCTTGGATGGTGGTGCTGGTCCTGCTCCAGGACCTGCACCCAGCCCAGCAGCTGAGCTATGGGGCTGTGCCTTTGGGTCTGCAGAGACCTGAGATGTTTGAGTGCAGGGCCACCTGGCCTCCCCACATGGATCTTGCTGGAAAATAGTGCCCCGTCCTCCTCGAGTGGTTTGCAGTCATGGAGCAGGGGAAGAGCAGAGGTTGTTTCTTTTCTAAAGGCTCCTTTCCCTTTTGTCCCCAGATCTCAGGAGCTGCACCTGAGGACCGAGGGCCATTCCTATCTCTCTGACCTGACCAAGCCATCGGACTTGGAGTTCATTGAAACCAAGAGGCCACGCCTGGACCTGCTGCAGGACCCCCTGATGCGGCACTCGCCTCTCCTGAGCCAGAGCCAGCAGGGAGCCACAGAGGATCTCTCAAAGGTCAGGAGCTGATGGCTGGGTCTGCATTTTGGGCTTGTGTAGAGCTGCCTTTGAGGCTCTGAGCTGCTGCTGAATTCAGTGTAGATCGTGGTTCCCAAAGCATCAGACAGTGCTTGGAGGTACTGGATGGTTTTCCCTGAGGTGGGGTGACCATTCTGGGGGAACAGAAGCATATCAGCTTTCCCTGTAACTCTTACAGTCATGGGCTTTTTCTACTGGGCTGTTAGATGCACCAGAACAATTTGGAGGCTCCTGTAGGCTGAATTAAGGATGGTCATGTCTGGCTTTTCTGGATACTCTGCCTTGATTTGATTTTTACTTGATGCTTCTCATTTATCACATCTCTTTATTTAATATTGGTGTTTGAAGGGCTGGAATCGGTTTCTGGTGGTTCTTTAATATAATCTTCCCCAGGAAAGCCTCCCTTGTCCCAGGCTCATTTAACAAAGCAAATCGTTTACTTACAATTGTCCCCTCTGCACAAGGAATAAATGTTGCAAAGAGAAATCCCTTACTTGTGTGCCTGTTTGGATTTACTTTCATCTTCTCTTGGGGTAAATTGTATTTGATTTTACCTCCAGTTTGGACGTGGTTGGCAGGAAAGTCTTGCTGGATAAATGTCTTGCTCTGATGCTGGTGCTGAGGGTTGTTGCAGTTGCAGGCTGGGCTTGGGAATTGCCCCAGCCCTCAGTGAAGTGAAAGGGAAGTGGAATTCTTACCCAGGAAGATGGGGATGATTTGCTGTATCCCTGTGGGAGCTGATTGAAATGACACATGGACAAGAGAGATCTTCCTTGGGAATGCTGGGGGATTCAGACATTTCTTATCTGTACAATACTGGTGAGCTTTACCTGAGATCCCTCTGACCTCTTTTAATGAGAAGGATATTTAACTCTGGAGTAGTTCAGGTGCCAAGGGAGACCTGAAGGCTCTGGAGCATCCTCAGGGGGTGTTGGTTGGGTGGCTGATGGGGAAAATGCGCTGTTGTCCACAAAACAAAAAATAGCCCTCTCCAAAGATAGGAGGAAACCAGGATGACTTTGCTGTCTTCACATTATTCCCACCAGCAGTTCTGTTCTGCCTCTCACCAGAAAACCATGGATTGTCTCAACTATTTGTTTCTAATAGGTAGAGCTGCTCTTGAGGAATTAGTTCATCAGTTTAGGGGCTACATTTGCTTCTTGGTCTGTGACACGTTTCCAAGAAGTACATGGATTTTACAGGGCTTAAAACATTTGTTAATGAAAGAGAGAGAGAGCTGAGATGCAATTCAGCAAGACAAGATTATGCTTTTAGTGGAGCCATTTGTAATTTTAGAGTCTGGAAGGAAGAAGAAAATGTGTCCCTGACTGGTGAGAGCCTGAGTGGAGCTGGGATTAGTTGCTCTGAACTAGCAGGGGTTGCTTCCAGAATGGGTTTGATGGAGCTCACTGCAAGACTGGATGATCTCAGTGCTGTTCAGGTGGCTGGGAGCAGGAGGCAAGTCAGGGACACAGAGTATATCAGCCTTTGCAGCTTGGCAAATTGGCTTAATAGCAGTCTTCGGGTGTTAGTCCTGAGCAGTTGTCCTCAGACTAGTCTAGAAACTAGATTAGTTTCTAGATTCTTAACTAGCTGGTGGACACTAAGGTTGAGGGAAAGCTCCTGCAGCCGATGTGTGCGTTGCTCTGAGCCCCTCAGCATGCCAGAGGAGCTGCTCTGGCTGTGGGTGCAGGGGACATGCAGAGAGCTGAGGCTGCCCTTTGGGCACAGCTCTGGGCTGGGGACACAGCCAGAACCTCTTCTTGCAGCCACGCTGAGCCAGCCACAGCTGAATTCAGCACTGGGCCCTGAACTCACCACCTGGGAGGGATGATAAAGACCTTCCTGAGAGTCTCTGTGCTGAGGGTGACGTGTGACACAGAGCAGTGGCACACACATGGTGGCAGGACATGTGTGACAGTGACCAGAGCTGGAGAGAGATATTTGCTGTTCTGTCTTTGCTGTTGACTCAGTGTCTGACAAAGTCGCTCAACACTTTATCTGGGGCAGCTCTTTGGGTGAGATGCACCACGTGAGCCCAGCATTGCTGAACAGCCTGCTGGTTGTTTAGAGTATCCCAGGAGTTGTTCCTTACCCGTTACCCCATTCCTCATTGTTGCAGTCACTGCGTGGGGAGGAGCTCAATTTACTCACTGGGGTAATAGTGCTAGGACTGGTTTTCATGGTGATTTTGCAGATTGAGCTCACTTCTGCACAGTAAGAGCTCCACAAAGCCCTCAATAAAAAAGGGTAGGGGTTTGGTTACACGCTCTGGGCGCCAGGCTGACTGTCCCAGGGGATGTGACTGTAATGGATGTTGCTCTCGGGCAGTGGAAACCTTTTGGTCTCTCCTGGTCTCAGAGCAGCTGTTGAGCTGAGATGCAGAATCAGGTCTGTGATGGGATGAAGGTTTAGCACATCCCTAATAACCATTGATAACTGGATAACCTTCAGCCCAGGGGAGAGAAGTCAGCACCATTCCTGCACGTTTCCAAGGCCTTTGTTTACAGCCATAATCTATGCTCTGAACACAGACAGAACAATTGATGGGGTAACTGCTCGTAACAGGCTTCAGAGTTTTTCCTCCCCCGAAGAGAAATGGATTTCTTATGTCTTTTGTTCCTCCTTTACCTCTCCCAAACAGGAGGAGCAGGGCCCCTTAAACCCTGTTCAGTATCATTGCAGCCTCCCTCCAAGCAAGGCTGTAAAGGAGAAGCTCTTGGATCAGTGCATTTTCCCTGGAGAAAGCAGACAAACTTTTGGGCAGCGTGCCTTTCAAAAGCAGCAGCTTTCAGCTAAATTTCACTTGGCCAAGTAAAAGACACACAACCTTTCCTTAAGAACCTCACATTGCTCATATCCTCAAACACCAGTGTTTCTTCTCAAGCCAGAGGCAGAAGGTTGTTTTCTTTACCCCATTTCAGCATCTTTTTCCTGCTGTTGTGTGTTGTTATGTTGCTTCAGTGCTGTGGTCCTGGGCTCCTGCTGTTGGATGTGACCTTGAGGGCTCTGGTGAGCTCGGTCTGCTGGGGAGAAATGAAACCTCCCTGTGCCCTCTGTGCCAGCTGGGGCTGATGCTTTTCCCCTGGGAAGGTTCTCCCTTTATCTGGCTGACAGTAACCAGAACAACTAAAGCAGGGCTGTTTTTTCAATCACTGCAAGCCTGGATGTGGGATTCACTGGAAAGGCTGATATGATGTGGCTTTGCCAGGTGTGTTCTTGGCAGAGAGGCAGGAGCTGCTTCCCAGGACCCTTGGTGGCTTCTGTTTTCCTTCCAGTAATGTCACGGACCTCCCTCAGGTAACAGCAGCCAGGAGTGAAGCAGACAGCCCCAGAGCAGAGCAGTGATGTTGTGCACGATCCCTGTCCCTGCACACACGTGTACAGCTGGTGCTGCCCATGATCCTGCCTCCCAGGGATAGTGAGCATGGCACATCTGGTCAGCCAGAGCCTGCTCTCCCCTCTCCAGAGCTGGAGCTTCATCCTGCCTCTCCCCTTCCATCTCTTCTTATTCCTGTTGTGCTTTCTCTCTTCTTCCCATTTTAAAGCCTGCTCTTCCACCACATACGAGGCTTGCTGCTCCTTCCTATAGGATGTGAGTCAGTCGTGATCTGCATTTAGTCCCCTTGCAAGGCTGCACTTATGAGTGGCCTATTGCTCTGACAGGAATTCACTTACAGGGAGCCATGTAATCCCACGGGAATGGGGCTGGGTGGAGGCTTAGGAAACCTGAACCTTGCTGCCATCTGCCCTGGCAGGCTGCTGGTCACCGGGTAAGTCTCTTCCCCTTTCTCTATCTCAGATTTCCCCATCTGTACAAGGGACAATGCCACTTCCCTCTTTTGTAAAATAATTAACAACTGTGCATGGAAAAAGGCAATTAAAAAGCCATGTGTTGTTAAGACTTGGGCTCTGCTTTACATTGTGCAGAGGTTTTAATTTCTTCCCGTTCTGCATGACCGTTTTTGTTGTGTTATGGACTGAAAAATGGAATAAGGAAAGTGTGTGTGTGTGTGTGTGGGGGCGTACTCTTGGAAAAGACAGCACTAAGGTCAGGAAATAGGTATGGCAAAACAGAAATTAGGGCAGAGGGTATTTTGCTTTCATGCATATCAATGTAGCTTTAAAAGCAATTAATTGAAAAAGGAGGAATTAACACATTTGAAATGCCTTTTTAATGATGCATTGAAGCCAGCAGCGTACATGCCAAATTTCACACTGGCTGCCCATCCCAGAGCCCAATTTACAATGAACTCCTGGAAGACAGGCTGTGGGATGGAAAAGGCTCTTGGCCAGCCTGCTAACTCCTGCCCTGGCCGCAGGCTGGTGGGCACTGAGGACAGCAGAAAGGCCTTTCGGGAGCTCTGCTTCCTCCTCACTGCGCCGCTGCCTTGGCAGTGCTGCTCCCTGGCAGCTGCTCCATCCCTGACAAATGCACTGGGGGAGAGGAGCGGGAGGCTCAGGTCTCTGGCAGCATGGTATGCCCTGGTATGGGGTGGAGGAGCAGTGCCACAGCTCCCAGCACAGATAGCTGGGCTGGCTGGTAAATCACCAGTTGCGTTTCTGCTCCGTGCCTGTGTTATGGGAACATTGATCTGTTGCTGGGATTAACCTCTCAGAGTTTCCAGTGGGTTGGTCTCGCAGTTATTAATGAAACTGGCTGGAACTCGTGTTGACCTTGGCAGAGGCCCCAGTTGGCTTGGAGGTAACTGGCAAAAGCATAATCTCTAATTGAGTAATCCAGGGCTGGGGGAAGGGAGCGGAGGGGGTGGACACGCTTTGAACCGGGAGAGCCGTGGTGCTCCGGCGGGATGCGTGGGAGTGGAGGGCTCAGCGCGGCGGTCACCGAGGGAATTGGCAGGCACAGCCAGGCAGCATCTCGGTTCCGGCACCCCAGGCTCCCTCCTGGGGAAAACAGCCCGGAATTCCAGCGCCTCCCCGTGATTTATTGCTGTGGAACAATAGCGCAGAGGGGCTGGAGAATGGAACAAGCTGTGAGCGTCGGCCGTCCCTGGATGTGTGTCCTCCCATAGCCTCTGAGTTTGCAGCGGGGATCACTCTGGGCTCTCCCTACCCCACGGGAGGTTGTTTTTCACTTGAGCAAAAGAGCTCTGGGCTTGTTCCATGGGCTTTTGGGGAATGTCTGCCAGTGGGGACTGAGACACAGAGCAAGTCTGGTTTCCCCAGCTGAGCATCTCTGCTGTAAGAGAAGGGAGATGCTTCCTTGGCCAGCTGTGCCCACATCTGGTGGGGAGGAGGGGCTGGCTGCCAGCAAGCCCTGCAGGAGACCCATGCAGAGGGATCCTGTGGAGCTGTGAGAGCACCAATGGACAGGGGACACACCAATGCTGCCAGCAGCCTGTTGCTTCATCCCAGTTATCCAGAACCCAAGTGAGGCGCAGAGACCTGTGCCAGTGCCTGGCTTCACCAGCCCTGTGGAAAATGAAATTCCTCACTGTGCCATGACAAGAACTTCTTGTCCTGAGGACTGTGGGGTGCTCCATGCAAAGCCTGCACATGCCGTGTGGCCTCCCCACCTCTTGGAGGAGTGCACTTCTATAGAAGTAACTCTAACCTCAGATCTGAGCAGTGAAATGAAACAATTCTAGCGGGTACAAACACACCTACGTCTTTCCTGCTTTTGTCCTCCTTCCCTTGCTGAGAGCAGCAGTTCTTGTTAACTCTCCTTGCAGCTGGGCTCTCCCTGTGAAGCCGAGCCAGTGGCGTTGGGCGCCCATCAGGGGCGTGGGGCTGTTGAGCACAGCAGCTCCAGTGGAGCCGGGGCTGTCGAGCCAGGAGGATCCTCCTGTGACGTGTTTGACACCCACCCGTCTGCCGTGTGCTTGCTCACACTGTCGACTTCTGGCTGATAAAAATCTGGTTGCAAAAAAAAAAATTAAATAAATAATTATTTGGTGGGGTGGGGAATTTACGTTAGGGGAGCAATGATTCAAAGCTATTTCTGGGAAGATGAGGGACATGTTGGCATTCTCTGTCATTCCAAACATATTTAAAAGCTGAAATATTTGCGTTGTTCACGTTGCCACAGCACTAACACTTCTGGCTGGATTTCCTCCCTCCTCTGAAGACAATTTCCAAATCATGGGAGGATGGGATGAGTGTCAGTGTGTCAACCCCTGCTCAGCTGTGAACACACACCTTTGGGAATGTGTGCCTGTGGTGTGCAAGCAGAGCGGCTCTCCTGGCATGCCTGGCAGTCTGTTCCATTGCCCACTGTGCCAGGATGGCTGCAGGGGTGGTCAGCAGCCCCTGCCATGCACCAGTGTGGACAGGGAGCCAAGGGAACAGCCTGAGGTGTGTTGTATCTGGAGTCTCCATCCCATGCATGGACTCGTGCTGGTTTCATTTGAAAAGCAGATGCTTTTACGCGAGTCCTTGTGAGATGTTTGGCTCCCCCATCTGAGGGGCGAAGGAAAGGAGCACCATGATTGTAAGACAACTGGTTTTATTCCATTTCTCAGCTGAAGTTCCCATGGCCAGAGAACTGAACTTATGGTCTGAGAGACTCAGGTACAGCAAGAAAAACCTTCATGGGCTGCAGAAACATTCCAGAGGCAGGATGTAAAACCCTTTGACCCTTCCCAGAGCTGCTTGCAGCCTGGGTCTCCCCTTGCCCTGTCTGCTCCAGCCTGCAGTGCTCCTCGAGCCACAGGCACCAGGGCCAAGGCTTGGTCCAGCTGGAAATCCAACAGGAGAGCTGATGGTGCCTCAAGCACAGGTTGTTTCACACTTCTTCAGCTCGTTTGTGGTGATCGACATCCAAAACAACCTTCTAAATTGCCTTTCAAGCCAGTGGTGGTGAAGGACAGTGTGATAGGGCTGGCTGCTTCCCGGGAACCTGCTTCATCATTTACATAATTGGACTTTTCTGTTCCACTCAGTCAATATTACAAGGCTCGTGCAGTGCGACATCTCACCTGATCTGCTGGAGGGAAAGAAAGTCCCCTGACTTTGTGTGCCTCACCCCTGTAATTGGAAGAAATATTTCTGGCTCTGTGCTTGCAGTAGGCAGTGTGCTGAGCTGTGTGGATTTGTGGAGTCTTTTCTTCTCCATCTATGAAGTGTTTGTATGTGTTGATGTATCTATTTTATCTGATAGCGAGAATTCGAATGTGCCCTGTTTTGTCCTGGAAATGCAGGAGAGAGGAGAGCTACTTTGCTACTTTGTCAGTCCTCAGGTGGGACCTAGGAAATAGTGTTGGTATGGCAGGAACTGATGCTTGTCTCCAGAGCATGAGGATGGTGTGGGGTGACAATGGCTGTGCCATTTTTGCCTGTGCTCAGCCAGTTGTGTTCATTTGTGTTAAAAAAAAAAACCCTCTCCTGGAATGAAAGTCAAGGAAAGAATTTGGTCCTGCTAACAAGAAGGACATCCTGGCTATTTTATTTTTCCCCCTTGAAAAGTCTCATCCTGATCTGTTTTTCTTCTTCTCCCTCATGTTCTGGGAGGGGGTGTGGGTGCTGCTGGGCAGGGAGCATCGCTCCAGCTCCCGCCAGATCCAGGCACACTCCGGGATGGCTTGTGTGGGATCTGTCCAGTTAGTGCAGGTGACCAAGCAGCAGGAGCTTGTAACCAATTTGCAAGCACATACATCTCACAGGTGTTCAGCATCCCTGCACATCCCTCCTACCCAAGGATCTTCCTGGGAGCAACTTGGGTGACTTCTCCGTGGATGTAGAGCACCAAACCAATTTTTGGTGCTGTACTTCTGCATGGTTGGGAAGTGCAGCCCATCAACAGTCCTGACTGGCACAATGAAAGCCAGTGAGTTGTGACACCCATCAGATTGATTCTGGGTGCTGTGTTTTGAGGAGGAGGGTATTTCATGCTAATACCTTCCTTCTCAGCGTGGGGTGGAAGCTGTGGAGGAGATGCAACAGCAATCAGTGGTGTTTGCCTGCTGCTGCTGGAGGGGATGGAGTGGGGGAGTGATTTCAGAGATGGATTTGGCAGAGATGAGGTGCTGCTCTTTGTGCCTGTGGTGATGGAGCTGTAATAACATATTGAACATGGCAACAGCCCTTGCTAAAGCTCTGTGACTTCACGTTCGTGCTTCGTGGAGCCTCATCTCTTAACACCCTTAGCATCCATAACAAGAGAGGAACTGTCGAGTGCCAGAGGGCCTAGTTAAAATCACTCGCTGAAAACCTCCTTTCTTTTTGGACCTAAACTTGCTTTTTAAACAGAAAAACTCTTTGGCTGTGTTTTAGGCAGAGCACATTCAGAGGGATTTTTGGCTCGGCAGCCTCGTGCCGCATGGGGGGGCCGGGGGGCGATGGACGCTGGTGTGTGTCAGGAATGCTGGCTGCGTGCTCAGCGAGCAGAGAGGGGTTGTTTTAGGACAAGCTGACAGGCCCTTGGCTTGTTCTGCTGCTCTCGAAAAATGTAATTCTAATTCTTGGCACCTTTTTCCAGGAGGATAAGGAGCGAGAGCACAGTGGAGCCTGTTCCCTCTGTCCTTGGAAGTGGGCTTTTATCCAGCGGCAGAGCTGGCTCAGGGCAGGAGCAATGTGTTCTGTCCTACCCCAGGTTTGGTGGAGCAAAAGTAGAAATTAGTGGGGGAGAAGCAGTGTGGGATGAAATGACCTGAACCACCTCCTTGCAGTCCTGACCTCTGTCTAGTTACTCTTGGGTCATCTCTGCTCTGACAGAGCATCTTCTGCCAGGTGCCAGTGTTCTTCCTGCCTTCATCTGCCCTTAATCCTGCACCTGGTACCCTTTCCTGAGAGGAAGAAGCACACTATCCTCTGGCAGTGCCCAGCAAGAGGACATGGACAGTGATTGTGGTGTTTCCCAGTCCTCTGCTGCATCCTGAGGGATTCTCCCAGGGCTGCAGAGCCCGTGGCATCCAGCACACACCCACAGTGGATTTCTCTGCTGCCATGGCATGGGAATGCTTCCTAGGCTTGACTTTGGGCAGCAGGCTCTGGTCACTGCCCCAACAGGGTCTGATTTCTCTCCATCTGTGCTGTTCCCTGAGGAGCAGCAGTGATCCTTTCTGCCTTCTGATCTCTGCTTTGGACGCTGTTGTTCCCATGACTGCTTAAAAAAGAACCATTTCCTTGTGCAGATCAAGCTGTCCCACGTGGTTACGTGACCAAACCAAGCACAGGCTTTTATTTCAAGCTGGTTTTCAGGTCTGTGTTATTTTATCTCATGCCAGCCATCTCAGGTATGATGTAGAACAGATTGCCCCCAGCAGCTAATGTGTTTCTGCCTCGGCAACAGGCAGAGTGGCAGATGTAAACACAGGAACATTGCAGGCTTTCAAACACTAAAAACTCCTAAAGAATAGACAGGTATGTGTATATAAATATATACAATGCATTATATGAAAGGCTTTCAATATATTTGGAGAGTTGTAAATTCGTGAATTCATGTGTGTACACTTTTTATAGGTTTTTAAGTAAGTGAAGAGCTTACATTTTTATATATAAATATACAAATACATATCTCTGTATTTGCTCCCTCCTATTCTTGTAAGCTGTTTTTTCAAAGGCTTCTTCTAGACTTGTGCAGTGATTCTGCCTTCAGCTGCCACAAGGAGAAAGACTCCCAGTCTCTAGCAAAGCTAAATATTGATTTGAGTCAATCTGGGTGCACTTGGAGACATCACTAGTGTTCATGAATGCAGCATAATCGCTGATTGGAGTGGGGAAATTTCATCATAAAGGCCCCAAAAGGGAGGTTTATTATTGCTTTCTTCCAAATGCCTGAATTTTATTAGCTTCAGTCATTCTTGGCAGGGCAGTGGAATGGGATTTTATAGTTAGCAAAGGAAAAGTAAACACAGTAATCATTTCACAGCCCTGTGCCTGCCAAACCAAGATGGAAATTCCAGCCTTGGTGGGAAGCTGCTGCTTTTGCTAACAGATAATAACAAATTCACTGTGGGTTTATTCTTTCTATGGGAGCTGTGATGTTCAGGTTTTTCTGTAATGTCCTGGTCTGGGGAAGCAGAGGTGCTTCGTGGTTTTCTGCAGGAACAGGCTGGGCAGGGGTTTGTGGTTTGAGCAACTCCCACAGCCATTCACAGGTAGAAATGATGTTTCTGCTCTGAGCCTTTGGGAACTGCTCTGTCCCGCACTCCTGTTGGTGTTTGGTTTTTCTGTGGTCGGCCTGGCTGTGGGTGCAGAGCTGAGCAATCCTGAAGGACGAATCTGAGACACCCTGATGCTCCTGCCACCCTGTGACCATCTCTAACTGCTGGATGGGGGGAGGTTACTACAGCATAAACCCAAAACTCTTTATGTTGTGTGCTTTCCTGGGCACGTTGAGTGCAGGGCTTGGCTGCCAGCTGGGGTCTGGAACAGCACCCACCTGTGTTTCCTGGTGTTGGGGAACGCTGCGTCCTCCCACCCTCCTGCCCCGCCGGCTGCGGATGGCGCTGGGAACGGCCGGCACTGTCCCCCTGCCTGCTGCAGGATGCGACCTCCTGATGGAAAACCAGGCGGAGCAGAGAAGGAAATGGTTCCTCAAACAAGCAGTGAATGTCGAGGCAGCCCCTTCCACGTGTCTGCACAGTTATTAGAACAATCAAGCATTGAGCGCAGCCGGCTCTGACGGACGGTGCAGCTGACGGCTGCTGGGCACCACCCGGGCTCCTGCCAGTGCTGATCCTGCCGGGTGCTGTCCGGGATGGCAGCAGCTGGGGCTGTGTCCCCCATCCCCACCCGTGTGTGTCCCGAGGTGCCAGCAGAGCACGGGACTTCGGGGCTGTTTGGGGCGCTCAGTGCGTGTGCTTTGTGCCACCTCGGGGCTGCCAGGCTGCTGGTGGATTCCTCAGGCAGTGCAGGTGTTGTCCCCACTGTGTCCCTCATGGTTTTTACAGCTGAGAGGTATTTGATGTCCTGCTCCATACGGCAGAGCAGGGCCAGAGTGAAGCTGTCCATGGGGTGAGCCATTGGGGCTCGGAGCTGGTGAGGCTGTGGCAGAGCTCAGTGGGTTCCGTTAGCAGCAGTTACTTCAGTTTGGGGAGCTGACACGGTTGGCGCGGCTGGGATTGAAGAGAGGTTGTGCTGCTGGGACTCCTCATCCTGGGCTGGAGGTGCTGTGAGTCTTGGGAGGGTTGTTGGTAGCCTTGGCTTGGTGGAATGGCTCTTGCGTGCAAGAGGAGGTCTGGGTTGTCCCACAGCACAGCTCAGCCGCTGCTCAAACCATTTTAGATCTTGTTTGCATTTCTTTTTTCCATCAGTCAGTCTCCTCCTCAGCAGGCAGCTCAGTCTCCGGGATTTGGGGAAAATAATTCTGGGTGATGGTTGTGAGGGAGGGAGGGAGTGTGAGCTGCCTTTAAGTGTATCTCACTTGCAGCAGTAGTGGTTAAATAGAGCTGTCTTCAATCATTCCCTTCCCTCCCCTCTAAATTTGATTCCCCTTCAAGCCAACTTCCCAATATTGATGTTGTGTGCCATCCTGATTAACTCCCAGACAAATCCCTGCTTCACAGGGCTGCCGAGTGCTGCCCTGTGTGTATCCCGCTGGGATGTGTGTGCTGAGGAGTCCCTGCTCCTCCTCGCTCTCCTGCCTCCTCCCTGGCAATAGGAGGAAATTTAAATGTTTCTGAAGAGCAGCATTTCAATTTCAAAAGCTGTTCGTTCAAGTGCGTCTGGAGTGGGATTTCTCTCCCCCACTCCTCTCTGAATGGGAGCTTTAGAAGTCTCATTTCCTCTGCTTGATAACACCAGGCTGAGAAGGGCTTTTGTCTTTTCATTTCCCCTCAATTTTTTATTTTTAAATCAGTGAGGTTTGGAGAAGCTGCCGTGGTGGATTTTCCCTCCCCCTCATCTTTGTCCATGTGCTGGAGGATGCACCTGGCATCACCCAGTGAACGAGCTGGAGCTTCCTGGGGCACATCCCACCTGGGAGCGCCCCGTCAGTCGCTCCTGGAGGCACAGGAGGAGCTTTGGTGGCACATCCGTGCTGTGTGCTGCCCTTCCCGGCCATCCAGACGGGGCTCTGGGCCCCCAGGACGGCGTTGGCTGGTGCTGAGCCTGGCTCAGGGTCCGGCCCCGTGTTTCCAACACGCGACGCTGCAGTGGCTCCAGTCCCACTGACTGCTCGCCCGCCTGCTTTTTTGGCTGACGTAGCTTTTCCAGTTGGCGTGAAATGATGTATTTTTGACGGGATGCTCAGCGGAGAGCAGATGTAAGCGGATGTAGTGCCCAGCTCCCACTTCTGCAGGAGTGATGGGTGTGGATGTAGGCACTGTCCCAGCAGTGCAGTGTTTGTGCTGTTCACTGGAGTATTGCACTGCTACAAAAAGGGATTTTTTTTCTGCAGATGCTTTTTTTACAACATTCGAGCCTGCTTTTCACATGGCATTAGGCCTGGAGGGCTTTCTACCTGCTTGAGGGATAGCTGGGATTTAGCAGGGACTATTCCAGCATCTTCTGTTAGAGGGAACTTGCCTGCTGGGATTAACACAGACCTTGATGCTTCATCCCTGCCTGGTTGACATGCTGGAAGGACTCAGAACGTGCTTTACTGCATGTGGTAGTTGAAAGAGGATGAGTGGTATTGCAAAAAAAAAAAAAAAATAAAATGGGGAGGCTGAAGCTTTCAAAGGCGTGGAGTGAGTGTTCCATTCCCCTGGGGTTTGTTGGGTTAGGTGACAAGGTGCTTCCTGGGCTGCCATAGGAGATTTGGGGATTGTGCCTGCACCCCCAGGCGGGGCACCCCCTCTGCCCCCCTAAAGAAACTCCACAAATAGAAATACAAAAACAGGCTCTGGTGATGATTCAGAGATTCCTGTGAAAGCTGCCTGAAATCAGCTGGCCCCAGGGAATGCAAGGGAGAGGTTTGAGCCCCAGCAAGGAGGAGCCAGGCTCTGCCAGGAGCTCCCTATTACCTTTAAAATGTGCCTCTGAAGCCGGGGGTGACCCTGCTGCCTGGCTGAGTGCCAAATTGGGCAATTAAAAATTTCCCTCCCTGCCTTGGCACGTGGTGTAATCGGAGGCGTTTTTTGCAGTTTGGTCCTTTTTAAGAGGCTTCAAACGTGCACTCGTGTGTGCAGTGTCAGCACGGGTGGCTGCCGGCTGAACAAATCACTGAGAGAGCATTAAAGCTGCAGATGGAGGGCTGGAGGAGCTTACTGCTTGTGGGATACTCTGACAACCTGAACTTGTCCTCCCCTTGTTTGTAGGAAGCAGCAGGAGCTTGTCTTTGCTGTACCTGCCCCTCTGTTCCGTGCTCTGTCTTGGCTGAGCAGGTCTCTGGCTGCCTTGCTCCATCCTCATCATCTGCTGGGTGCTCTCAGGCTTTTCTTCACCTGCCCAAACCATGCATTTATTCACATTTTATTATTTTGGGGCACTTGCTGTTGGCCTGGAATATTCCATACGTGCATGGTCCTTCCATCTCAGCCTTTTCCTTCCCTTTGCAGCACCTTTCCTGCAGCTTCCCAGAACCAGGAGCCCAACTCTGCTCAGTTCCAGCTCATTTTCCCTAAGGCAAGCACCAAGATGAGATTTTTATTAATTTTTTTTTTCCTTTGACGTGGACACTTCTGCAGTGTTAACAAAAGGCAAAATCGCTGGCAGAGAGTCTCACCAGATGTATCAACTGTACTGAAGACGCTCAAAGAAAAAGTTCCCAGAATCTTTCTGAATGTTGCAGAAAGGCATATTTTCTTGTAAACTTGTTCTTGGAAGTGACAGAGTTGTTTTGGCTGAAATTCCTTGTTTAGGAAAAAAAGAAAAAATGAAAAAAAAGACTAAAAGTGCCTAAAGCCGATATTCAGCATGGAAAATTTCAGTGCAGACACAGTTACTGTTTGAGCAAACTTGAGGTCAGCTGAAAATCCAGGGATGCAGAATAGGCAGTGTTGGGGAACTCTTAATGAGAGGTGGAGCAATTAGCTCCTTGTTGTAATGAGTAGATGGGTAGGTGAGAATTCATCACTCCTCTAAGTCAGTGGGGAACATAGCATTCAATGCAATTATTACCCACTAATGGGGAAACGCAGGAAGGGAATGAAAGGCACAGCATCCATTTGCTGGGTAATGCCTTCGGTGGCCGGGGGAGTTTGCCTGAGTAAGGATTTTTGGATTTGACCCGTTATTTTTCAGGCTGTCTCCGAGTCCATGAGCCCTGTTAGGCGGTGCTGCTGTAGAATCCTGCAGTCCTGAGATCCAGAGGCAGCATCTGTTCACTGTAACACCACGGAACGACTCTTTAGAGCACAAGCAAGTTCTGTGAGACCAGATACAAGGCTTTGGTTACTGCATTTAACTCAGGCTCTGGCTGGCGAGGTTTTACCACCCTCATAAATCTGCTGGGGAGGGGAGGCAGGGAGGGAGGGGTCAGCATTTGGTACTGGTTTTGCAATTAAATTGCTTCAAGCTGTTGAAACATTGGGGAAGTTTTTTGACCTACTTTCGTGCAAGCTTTAGAAATTGTTGGGATGTTTTCCGCTCTGTCTGCGTGGAATTCAGCTGGATTACGGAGGAAAGGAATTTTGTGGGCCTGCTCGTAAAGTCAGATTTATTTAAAAAAAGAAATTAAATTTAAAGAAAACCTGGTTTTGTCTTTAGACAGCTCCTTGCTCTCCAGCTTCATAAATCCCCATGAGAGCACGTAGTGGGCTGCATCCAGTGAAAGCGATCCGTGTTTTGCACATGCCGTGGGGATGGAGGAAGGAGGGGGATGATGCCTTGGTCCCACACCTGGCATCCCTGGGGAGCTCTGCTTGGCTTGCAGGGGAACATCCGTGTGTTCCTGGCTGCTGAGCATCAGCCAGGAGCTCCCCAGAGCACACTCGGGTCTCCGTCCCGCTTCGGCAGCCCTCGGAGCACGCGGGGACGCAGCCCAGCAAGAGCCCAGCAGTATTTAAGAATTAAAACCTCGTTTGAAGGGCCAGGCTGCAGAAAGAGCCGTGAGCACAGCAGATGGCCATGGACAAAAGAATTGCAGTAACTCGATGTACTTTTCACTGCTCGGACTCCCTGACTTTTTGTACTCGTGTATCTCCCTGGGGAAACGAGACATAAGTTTTCAGCTCCATAACTTTTTCCCTCTGTCAGTGCTGTCATCCTGGGGCTTAGGATATGTCAGATTGTGTGGGACACTTCTCCAGTTAAAAAACCAAATTCCTTTAGTCTGTATTTGGCTCATTTAAGAGTTTTGTATTCATGTTTTTACCTAAAAAGCTGACGGATGGAGGAGTGGGGTGTTGCTTTCCTGCTCGGTTCTCATCCCAGGAGTGTGGGGAGCCCTGGGGGCTCAGTGTCTGCTCATCCCTGTGCTCCTGGACTGGGAGGATGAGCTGCTGGCTCTGCAGTGTGGCACAGCCCCACATGGATGGGGGTTTGGGAGGGGTGTTGGCTGCTGGAGTGCTGGAATGTTCACTGGCTCAGGTGATGGAGGCATCCCCACAAGGAGATCCCTTGATCACAAGTTCATGTGAAGTTTTTTTGGGAATTAATTTGAGCACAAATTGAGTGGCTCTAGCCTATCCTGCCTGCTTTGGCAATCTTCTCCAGCCCATGAGGACAGGAGATGTGTGTGGGGGCAGGTGTTAAAGATAACACCTCTTTAATCCCTCCTGGTGCTCCAGCAGGAAACGCTGCTGCTGGCTGATAATTAGAAAGTGAACAGACTGTGGAAGAGATGATGTTGGCATCCCTAAATCTCTGTCCTGGGCTTGGGGGAACATCACTAATGATCTGGATTAGAGAGGCAGAGAGAGAGGATGGTATGTAGGGCAAACACTGTGAGCTGTGCTGGAGATCCTGAGGCTCGTACCAAGCAAGGCTCTGTTCTCTTGGGATGCACTGATGGGCTGTGGAGGTTTGCAGGCTCCACTGGGGAGTTTTGAAGAGGCAGCTGACACAGTCAAGGGATCAGCAAGGTCAAAATGCACTTTGCAGCGAGAGTTAGGTGCAGATGGAGCAGAGCTACTGATCTGCTGTCTCCTGAGGGTGGGGAGCAGCTGAGCAAAATGACCCTTCAGGAAGGCTGGGCTGCATGCAGCTGTAGGTGCTGAGCTGAAGTGGGGCACAGATGCCCTTTTAAATCCCAAAACTCACCAGACTTTCCTGTGAGTATCAC